ATCTCCAAAATGTGTCTGCCAGGTGTTTTAAGAATCACTTATTTCTTTTTTCTTTTTTAATTTTTTTTCTTTTTTAATTTACTTTTAAAAAGTGTTATTTATTTGACAGACAAGAGAGCACAAGCGGGGGAGGGGCAGAGGGAGAAGCAGGCTCCCCGCTGAGCAGGGAGCCCCACGCGGGACTCGATCCCAGGACCTTGGGATCATGACCTGAGCCAAAGGCAGACGCTTCACCAACTGAGCCACCCAGGCACCCCAAGAATCGCTTCTTTTTCCTGATTATAAAAGCTATGTATGCAGAAACTCTAGATGGGCCTAACCACAAGGAGAGTCTCCCTCCCAAACCCCACCACCCAGAGGGAGCCACTGAATGTTTTCTTCCCCCTTATTTCTGTGTCATTGAAAATGGGTTTGTAAATAGCATTCTTTGGTGCTACATAATATTCCATCATCGAGATGCACTACAGTTTTTACTGAATGGTTCCCTTTTTCCTGGGCATTTAGGTTGTTTCCAACTGTTTGCTGTTTTCAATAAAACATAATGACCGTCTTTGTCCCTGAATCTCCATCTGCATCATAGGTGTTTCCTTAGGATCAGATGCTCAGAAGTGCAGTTTACCGAATTAAAGACTGTTAACGTATTTAAAGCTTAAGAGATGTGCCCCCAAAGAAGAGGTCATACCATCTCTGACTTAACTTCCTTCTGGACCCCAGGCAAGACTGCACTAGTTCAGACAATCCTACGACAAAGACTTGGTGTTCAGAGGCTTAATGTGAAAACAGTGAATGAAAACCTCAGGCAAATGGGAGCACTTGACAATGATTTGCTTGGTGAATTGATACCTCTCTCAGGAATTTGACAGTTTTCCTAGGGTGAGTGTGGTTTGAATGCTCAGATATTTGCCGAGAGACATTCTCTGGGTCCCTTCCTCTAATTCAGAGTTTTCAAAACTCAGATGGGTGTGAGAATTACCTTACAGGTTTGGACACCCCAGGGCCTTGACACCTGCTGTCCTTGGTCCAGAACGTCCTTCCCACGGGGTCGTTGTCTTTACGTGGGTACCACACAGATGTGGCTGCACTGGAGAGGCCTGGGTGACTGCCAAGTCACTGCCCCAACCCCCACGCCCACTTTATTCCCTGGGGAGTCCTTCCACTCTTTATCACTGCCTAGATTGGAATTTTATATATTTGTTGGTTTACTGCCTGTCTCTGAAAGCCCTAGGGCAGGATTCTCATCTGCCCTGCCCATGGTCTGACCTCCTTCACGTGAGTCTGACTGAGTAGCTCTTACCCACAGGACCATGTGCACACAGGACTGCAGATGGTGTCCCAGGGATTCGTGGCACTGGCTATACCCCCATATTTGAGTGTACCCCCATATGAGTGTGGCATTGGAGAGAGCCTGGAGAAGGAGCCTGTGACATCAGGAGCAAATGTGGGCGCTGAGGAGGAAGGCGTGGTGGGGGTCTTTATTTGCCACATGGGTTGTGCGTGTGACTCTGGGCCCCAGGCCCCTCGCTGTGTCACAGAGCAGCGCAGGGTCCCTGCAAAGCCACAGGGCCAGGCTGGTGCCCAGATCAGGCAGGTACATGCTTCAGTTGTGTAGACGTTAAACTCGGGGCTGCGTGTCGACCCCAGAGCCACCCTCACACGTGGCACGGAAACACCACCCCAGTGTGAGTGTGGATGTTGGTGGGCTAGGTCCCTTTGTCGACAGGAACGAATGCCGTTCATGATGCGTGCGTTCGCGTCCCTGTGCTCGCCGCCGTCCCGGGCCACCTGGTCCGAGCGTGGACGCGCAGGCGCAGAGCGGGCCTTGGCTTTTCCTTCTCCAGGTCCAGTACTTACCGCTCCAAGGGCTTTGACGTCACGGTCAAGTACACGCAAGGCAGCTGGACGGGCTTCGTCGGGGAGGACGTTGTCACCATCCCGAAGGGCTTCAATAGCTCGTTTCTTGTCAACATCGCCACTATCTTTGAGTCAGAGAATTTCTTTCTGCCTGGGATCAAGTGGAATGGGATCCTGGGACTCGCATATGCTGCTCTGGCCAAGGTAAGGCCAGTCTGGGGATCTAGGTAGGTCAAAGGTGGGACGAGTCAGACGGGCGGTGGGGGTGGGTCCCGGCTGCGGGACACGGTTGGTTGGTGAGAGTTGCTTGGTGGAGACAGACCGTGGTCGCACAGTTAATTACGTTTTTAGGCATCTTAAAAATTTAAAGTGAATGATGCCGTTCTTTGAACCTTCTTGCCAAGATATACCCATAGCATTACTTTTTTTTTCATTTGTCTTTGTTTTTGCTTATTTTACTTCTGTAGTTTAAAAATGTTAACAGAATCTGAGTCACTTTAATTTTGGCGTCGAAGTGTTTTTCTGAGGGGAGGATTAAAAGAAAACACCCTTATTAGATTCATACATTCTCATGGAGACGTGGAGCCTGTGGCTGGCCTGGAACCTCGGCTGGGGAGGCCCCCCACCAGGGGAGAGAGCATCGTGCTGCCTTCCCGTGGCTGCGGATACCCCACAAGGAGCCACCTGGAGCCTGGGTAGGGCCTGAAATGCATGTCCCAGGGACTGCCAGCCATCGGCCCAGGAGGGGAACGCGTGCAGCCCGTCCTCCCATCAGCATCAGAACTCGCACAAAATGGGAAAGACAGACTCTGCAAACATTTGTACTCAGGCCAGCCCAAAGGAAGTGACGTTGGTGTGCCTGAGGGGGGATGCAGGTGGGGGAATTTCCACCAGGAAGGGAGCAGGAGATAAGCGGGTTAGATACCAGGGCATGGCCTGGAGCAGAGCAGAAGGCGGTCACCCCTCCTGGCCTGTAATGGGCACTGCACCTTGCCCTCTCATTGTTCGGTGCTCGGCTTGGAGCCAGAGAAGCATGGAACAAACAGAAGCAGGTTGGAGGACCCGCAGAGCCCCCCCGTGGTCCATGAGGATCCAGGAGGGAAGGCCTGTTTTCTCTCCCCGCAGGGATGTGCGTCCCAGCCCCAGTTCACTAGTAAATGCTGCAGGGGGGGTGAGGCGGGGAGGGGGTGGCAGGCAGGGGAGTCCTTGACCCTGTGATTTTCAAGGAGAGGGGGGCCCGTGAGGCAGACAGGCTGAGGACATCCCACGACTTGGTTCCTTAGGTTCTGGTGAGCTTCGCAGGAGGCCAAGTTCTCCCGTTTTAGGGATATGCCGACCGAGGTCAGAGAGGTTTACCCTCCTCGCCCAGAGCCTGTCTGCGGAGCCTGGGGGGCTGTGGAGCCCCTTTCTTCTCAGTACCATCGGGTGAGCTTAATATGAACTGTGTAGACTCTTAATAACATACATTCCTCAGTACGATTTCATGGACAGTGTGACCGAGGACAAAACATTGCATTGTTACCTGACTTAGACGTGAAAGGTACAAACATGATTGGTTTTATGCTGATTATCAGGAAGATGGCAGAATAAAGCTAAATTGCCCGCAGTGGATGATACTGATAATAAGCTTCCTCGCGAATAATGACTTCGGGGTCCCTAGGGGTGGCCAGACTCGCCACACGACCTTTTTGTGGGTGGAATTCCAAGATGAAGATGATCGGCTTCCTGTCCCGGGTTTGAGGAGATGGTCACAGGATTGGGAGGACATGGCACGTGGTTGGGAACAGGGCTAGCAGGGTGGTGTGGCTTGGTGGGCCAGAGCTGTGGCTGAAATAGGTTGACCGAGTGCTCAGTGGTGGCCACGGCGCGTGGCGGCCCCCGGTCAGTCCCGAGGATTCCTGCTGAGGATGTGCGTCAGACCCTGCCCTCCGGGGTCTCCCACGCCACCGATGCCTGGGTCCAACTGCACACATACGAGTCGGGCTCTCTTGGGTTGACCCTGGCACCTGTATGTTTTTAAACCTCAAGAGGGATCCTGAGGAATAACTCGGCAGAATCATAATAGATCCCTTACTGTGCGCCAGGCACTGTTCCAAGGCCTTTGTGTGTACTGGCCCATTTAAGTCCCAGGAGCAGCTCTGGGAGGCTACTGTTTCCCCATCTCACAGATAAAGAAACAAAGAAACAAGTCACGCAGTGAGCAAGTGGCGGAGCCAGAATTCAGTCCCAGGTGGTGTTGACTCTGCTGCCTCCCAAGCAGGTGGCCGGAAGAATGGTGGCCTCGGTCAGCAGCACACCCAGCCACTCCGGGAAGGGGGGGCCTTGTCCCGTCATCCACCCAGACGCCACGCATGCTGCCCATGTCACCTACGAAGATGGTGCCGAATCCTGCCAGAGATTCCACGGAAGCAGGAGGAGGAAGCCATACGCAACCAAGTTAAATAAGTGGGAAGATTTCTACCTGCTAATGGGCTGTGGTCTTACTCCCTCCAGAGTTACAGTTTTCATTCCTACAGGCAGTAAATAATAGTCCCGACGTTGACCGCTGGTGGTCAGAATGTGCCCGCAGCGTCTGTACCACTCCAAGTATGTTTCCATCGGGAACCAGCAGCTCAGAGAGATCCAGATATCCCGGTCGTCAAAGCCAAAATTTACACGCAGGTGTCTGACTGGCCCTCGGGACCGGCAGCCCTGGAGGCCCACCCCCAGCTCGGAGCTGCTCGCACAACCACACCTCTTCCCTTTGAGCCCTGGAGACATGGGGGCGCCCCGAGTGAGTGCTGGCTCCGTGGAAGGAAGGCACGGGCCACTGAGGTCCACTGAACGGTGGCGGCTGGGAATCCGGGGCTTTTCAACCTCAGGGGTGTGGGACTGTTCTTTCCTGCTGTTTTTCTGCTCGTTGGAGGTCAGTGGGGTCTGGGGTCTGAGAGGTCTCATGCTCAGCGCCTGTCATTGGTGTGTGGCAGACGACCGTGGCCGGGAGAGGTGAAGCATGTTTTCTGAAGCCATGAAGGCCGCTCCCAGAGACGCTTCTCTCCTCGCTCTGGCTGAGATGAGAGTCCACCGCCCACGTCGGTGACCCACTTCCACGTCTCGTGCCTGCATCACAGGGCATCGTGGTGATAAATGGGACGACGTCCTAACTCCCCAGCAATACCGTCTTAGGTTTGCATCTCAGCCTTGCGCAGGGTCCACGCAGATCTTCTCTGTCTCGTTCCAATTGTAGAAGTACTATCTGATTTTTCCAACAGAGTCGTGCACAGAGGGAATGCACTGCGTAGTAGGAAGGTCTGTTGGTTTCTGAATTACTGCCCTTGATCAGAAGCTTGTTTGTTGGTTCACCGTGAAAAGAATTAAATACAAAGAAAACCATTTTGTACCTCATGCCCAGTGTCTGCTTGGGGTCAGTCCTCATCTCAGCTGCCGTCCTTGTATCTCCTGCAGCCGTCAAGTTCCCTGGAGACGTTCTTCGATTCCCTGGTGGCCCAGGCGAAGATACCCGATGTCTTCTCCATGCAGATGTGTGGGGCGGGGCTGCCTGTAGCTGGATCTGGTACCAACGGAGGTAGTCTTGTGGGTATCTTTTAGTCTTAAAGGGGGAAAAAAATCGCAAATCGGGTAGCTTTTCTGTTTTATGAACACCCTGGTGGAAATATTAGACGCAGAAGCATACATAAGTACTGTGGAATTTTGATAACCCTTGTTATAGAACCTTTAAAAAAAACTGGGTAAAATTAGGTATTATTTTTATCTTTCCTAATTATCCTGCCAGCCAAAAGATGATTCTCAATGCTTCCCCAAATTCCATTAAAGCTTTTTAAAATGTTTCCCTTGAAGGGTAAGTTTTTGGCAGGTGAGGGAGGGGCAGGTGAGGAACCGTAGGGGGTGTGGCAGGTGGGCCTTACCCAGGGTTGGCTGCCAGTTGAGGGAAATGCTGACGGTTTCCTAAATTTGGTGTAGAGACAGGGACACCTGTATATCCTTTCTTTGCACACACACACACACACACACTCACACACTCACAGCAGAAAGTTTTCTGGTGAAACAGAAACAGATCAAGGCCACCAGCCCTGTGGATGTGCTGAGGCTGAGTGTCCCCTCGATGGACCCTGCACCCAGATGTCTCAAGCAGGAGGTGACAGGGACAGTGCACGAGAAGGGCCCCTCAGGGCAGGTGCTGACAACCCCCTAGTTATCCAGCTATGAGAAGCAGACACTCAGTTGCTTTCATTTGCTTACACTACACCCGACCTTAATACCTTATTTATCCCCCTTTTCAGGACAGAGGACAGCCTAGGATTTGTGGGGCAATGTTTTATAGTTTTGCAACATGAAATTTTGATGAGGGAAGCTCCTTTGTTTTGCTTTCCATGCAAATGTGTGAGATTGCAAGTCCTCCTCTTGTCTTCCAAGGAACTGAATTCTTGTCCGTCAATGTGGCTCGCTATTTTACTTCATTTGTTTGGGGGCGGATCTCAGTATGGTAAGGCTAGAATTGTAGGTACTTCCTTTATAGAAGGGAAACCACCAGAGCATCTTGATCAGACGAGGATATAAGATTGTTTGCCGTTTGGATACATGGCCCCCAAACGTTCCCTGTTTAATTTTCAAGCATGTATGTTTTGTAACATCATCGTAATGTGCAGGTACTGATTCCAGTGAGGATTCACCTTCTGATTGTATGCTTCTCTGTGTAACCTGTTGATATGCCTCCATATTTTTTCTCTTACACCCGTAAATATTTTTCTTCTCAGGTCCTGGGTGGAATTGCGCCAAGTTTGTACAAAGGAGACATCTGGTATACCCCTATTAAGGAGGAGTGGTATTATCAGATAGAAATTCTCAAGTTGGAAATTGGAGGCCAGAGCCTGAATCTGGACTGCAGAGAGGTATTCACATTGTGATCTCTTTGTGTCTAGGTGCCTGGGTCACTTTACTACTATAGTTGGGACCCAAATAGGAGATTAGAAGGTACAGGGATACCTGGGTAGTGCAGACAGTTAAGCGTCTGACTCTTGGTTTTGGCTCAGATCGTGATCTCGGGGTCCTGGGATGGAGCCCCGTGTTGGCTCTGAGCTCAGGGGGAGTCTGCCTGGATTCTCTTCTTTTCTCTGCCTGCACGCCCCCCCCGCCCCCGCCACCAGTGTGCACAGTCTCTAAAATAAATAAATAAATCTTAAAAGAAAAAATTAGAAGGTACATTACAAGATAAATCAAAGATTCATTACATTAAAAGTTACAGGGGCTTTTTGTATGAAAACAAACTCCTCCTTCCAGAAAACTTGCTTCCTTCCGGTCACTTGGCTTCATAGGGAAAAATTAGCATAAAATGGTGTGTGTGAAGAGCACTGTCCAGCCCCTTTCACTGTTCCCCTGGGCCTGATGTTTCCTGGACTCTGTTTAAGAGGATGGAATAAGCAGGCTTTCATCAGTGCAAGGGCGAAAACGACTAGAAATAAGCAAAAGGAAACTCAAAATAAACCATCAGCTTTATCTTCCATTCGTGCCCCCCGCCACTCACCTCTCCCTCCAGGACAAGTGATGCTCTGAAGAGCAGTGTGTCCCGACTGTCCTGACAGGAGGCAGACGTGCAGAGCTAGGGCACTGAGTCATACAGGAGCCCCGGTCACACCCTGTCTGCATTGGGCTTACTTGTGGCCATAATGACGTTATGATGAGGACAGCTTGCGGGGGTCCGTCTCCCACAACGTCTGCAGGATGGTTTATAAAAACCGCCAGCGTTTCATTCTATTCCTACCTGCCCTCACCTCCTTTCTCACGAACCATCCCCGTCCACCACGGTGCCCGTGTGCACAGATGCCTCTGAAACCCATCGGAGCTCAAGAGAGCGGTGTCCCCTCTCACTATGAGAGTGTCCAGTCCTGAGGCCACAGAGCTGGGTTTATTGTCAGAGGCACTTAGTTGCCAGTAAGGAATCCAGTGGTAGAATCAAAAGAGAAGGCCTATAATACAACACAAACTCTCGTGTGTGCACACGTGTAAGATCCTCTTCCTGAATGCATCCTAAATTTCCATCCTAAATGCAAGATGGGGTGTCTGTTAAAAAAACTCCATCCTAATTCTCTGTCTCTATTCCTGGGATAATCGTTGATTCTATAGGATTTGTATAAATGGTAATTAATGTGTCATTTCAATCTGGAAAGACAAGGGGGTCTTCCCCCTTTGTTCTTGGGGGCTCCTCGACAGGGACGTCTGGGCACCTCCAAACGGGGAAATGTCTGCATGGGAGAGCTGTTGATTTTGGTCACGTCACTTCCCTTTCCTGGTCTCCGTCTCTTTTATCTGGGAAGTGAGAATGTTGGGCTGGTGTCCCAGTTCCAAGACTGGGCAGTGAGTGGAGCTACTGGCAAGGTAGGGCTGCCTGAAGTTGTGGATGGCGGACCCACAGTGACAGTGGGCTGGAATCACATTGCATGTCACTCATGCCCTCTCCCTACCAACTCTCCTCTGTTCCAGTATAACGCAGACAAGGCCATCGTGGACAGCGGCACCACACTTCTGCGCCTGCCCCAGAAGGTGTTCAATGCAGTGGTTGAGGCCGTGGCCCGCACGTCTCTGGTGAGTGCTCAGGGTGCTGATAAATCCCGGAGAGCACCAGGTCATGGCCACGTGCTGGGGAGCACTCCTGTGTATTCAAGCAGTCTTCATCTGGGGATTTTGAGGGGTTGGATTTTTTTTTTAAACTATTGTTAAGTCTTATAACTTATCACAGCCTTACTCTTAACTAGCAAAGAATTTCTTCACGTTAACCTCAGGGAACTTGGATCTGGAGGTGCCATGCTGTTTAGTATTTCAAATAATAGTGTAGTGGATGTAGTACTTTTTTTTTTTTTTTTAAGATTTTTTTATTTATTTATTTGAGAGAGAGAATGAGATAGAGAGAGCACGAGGGGGGGGAGGGTCAGAGGGAATAGCAGACTCCCCGCTGAGCAGGGAGCCCGATGCGGGACTCGATCCAGGGACTCCAGGATCATGACCTGAGCCGAAGGCAGTCGCTTAACCAACTGAACCACCCAGGCGCTCAGTACTTTTTTTTTTTTTAATCTAAGAAAAAAAGCCTCTTGGTCACATTCTATGTTAAAGGAAATAGTGACCAATGAATATGTTCGTAGCCTTTAAAACAAGAGACACGAGCCCCAGATCATACTTTTTGGCCTTCATCCAGGCTGTGGTGGGATTCTAATTCTTCTGTAAATGTGATTCTCAGAAGACAAAGGTCAATCAGCCAGTATAATAATTACTAAAATCCTGCTCAAGAACAACATGCATTTTGTGAGAAGTGGCTGACAGCATTCCAGTATGGCCCTAACTTTCCAGTTGGTTCTGGGCACCAGGGTAGACCAAAGGCATTGATTGGGAAGAGCACAGCTTCAGGGGTGAGATGGACCCGAATGGGGGCTGGTTTCTGCCGCTCACTAGCTGGGTGCCCGGGGCGGGATTCGGGCCCTAGGAGTCTCCACGTTCTCATCGTGGGGCTGTCGGGAGGGCTGGCGTACGATGCACCCCGCACAGCGCTGCTCTAGAAGGAGAAGCATCTAACGTCCCACTGCGGTTGCTGATGCTCTTTGTTCGAACGGGAGAAACGTTTCTCTCCGCTTCTTGGGTGTTTTCATAAGCCTTCCTCTGTACAGGGCCATCCTTGCAAGGTCACCAGAAACCAGCATCTCCTGTCCAAAGTCTTTATGCTGGTACTAACGCAGGCCTGACTGTCCCACGACTCCGCTGGCCGAATTCAGAGAATGATGGGAAGATGCATAGCGGTGCTTTGTTACAGGTTCTAGCAGGAGCAGGGGAAGGAGGAAGGGGCGTTTGGTTGTCCTGAGCCAGACTTCAGAGGTCTGAAACTGCTGTGGGAAGAGCAGCAAGTGAACTAAGAGAACGGACAGGAGCAGTGAAAAAGAAGTAGCTCAGAGGCCCCTTTTTGAGCTTGAAAGGACTTCAGGGCAGCAGTGGTCAAAAGCCAGAGGAAAGCTCCTGTCTTGTCTCATATCTGCTGAATCAGAAAAAATGGCAAGGAAAGTTTTTAGTGCCCTAAATTCAGAATGCTGGCTGAAAATCAGACCATGCTTAAAATATGGAGCCATATGCTGATTTTCTTCAGTAGTGAAAATGTCCTCAGCAGACCTGACACGAGCATCTTCAGACTGAGTATTCTGGGCTGCAAGTGTGTGAGGACCATCCCGCAGAAATGCTCAAGGGCGTGCGGGTGAGCCTGGCTCGCCCTTGGCCA